GCTCAGACAGTGACAGCAGTGAAGACGACAGTGATGACGGTGCTATACACAGGATGAAGAGCAGTGTCACACATATCAAGGTGAGTTACAATCATACAGCATTTTTATAATGTTAAAGGGGGGATAGTTCCGATTGTAGATTCGGGATGTGCTGGTTATTTTAGGGGTATTTATAATTAAACAGTGATTTATAATTTAATCGGTTAAGCAATTAATTGATATTAGCATAAATGTAACCATGTGAGTGGCTTCCAAAAACACTGCCTGTACAACAGGGTTGTTATTATTAATAACATTATTATTAACAAATAAAACAAACTAGTTGTTTTTTCTTTAGATAAAGCTAAATAAAACATAAATATTAGATAAGAAGCTTATATTAAAAAACTCCCTTGGCAACTAACTGAAGTATGTTTGAATTGTAGGACTAAAATTACTAAAACGAAATCGTTAAAATTAAAAAACTAAAGATGTTAAAATTAGAATAATAACTATAAAAATGAAAACGTCAATATAGGCTAAATACTATAAGAATACTAAAATAACACTACTGTATATTCATCCGGAGCTAGTGTGTTGCATAATTTTTAATATTTAAATTACTACTTAAATTCAAAGTCACAATTAATGTAAAAAAATATATATTTGACATTTTTTACATTTTACAATGTGAAGTTTAAATGAAGAAAGGATGGAATTAAATTGCTTTTTGTGTATACTTGTTTAATTTGTATTTTTATGTACATTATAATACATATTACACATTAAGAGTAATTAACAGTAAATTAAACAAATTGATACGAAATATAGCTGCATCTATTAAAAATCAATTTAATTAAGTTATTTACTTGTTTAAAGTTAAATAGCAAGTACTCAATTAGTTTAATTAAGTTTAATTTAATAATAATTTATTGACCATCAATTTAAAATTCCTAGTTTATATAAACCTTAAACACTGCCATCCAGTAAAATATTAGTGTGTGAATCAGATATGCCATTGCAGTTTACTATTACTGTTGCACTGTTGCCATGTATAGAGAAAGCACTATTAAAGTCATATAACCTATAAGTAGAGCTTGAATAATTGATGCAACTACTATGCTTAGCTAATGTAATTGTGTTTGTTTCAGCGTGCCTCTGATGATGAGAGCAAGAACAGACGAAGAAGCTCCTCACCTGACAGGTAAGTCTGTTATTAGTCACAATTTAAAAAAAAAACGATGCAAAATTCAGACCTTTCTGTAAACTGGTGTCTTTTGACTCCATTTTAGGGACGAAAAGAAGTCACAGTCAAGATCCCGCTCCAGATCCCGCTCTAGATCTCGTTCTCCTCAAGAACGTTACAGAAGGGGTCGTAGGTGAGGGAATGTGTGTTTATGTTTTCGACAAATATGCTGTTGCCTTTTTCGTCCTGATGTAATATATTGCACCTTTCAGTTCTAAAGTTTTCTTTGTTCTCCGTCGTCCTCGCATCAGGTCCAGGGAGCGTGAGCGAGATCGAAACCGCTATGACGACTGGGATAGTTATGAGCGGCGCTCCAGCAGAGAGGGGGATTGGGAACACAGGAGGAGGGGAAGGTCAGCCTCCCCAGCCAAAAATGAGGAGCCTCCAGTGAAAAAGAGGAAGGAAGGGCTGGACCCCATCCTGACCCGCACCGGTGGGGCCTACATCCCACCGGCCAAACTGCGAATGATGCAGGCTCAGATCTCTGACAAGAGCAGGTTGGTTTCACTTAGGCTATGTATTTATGATATTGCACTTTGGAAATCCATCATTGGGTTTGGAGGATACAAGAAAAAAAGGGAATAAGAAGTAGGGCAATATATTGAATGTTGACAATATTTTTGTGATTTTTTTTATGGTAATAAAACATCTCTAATATGAATTTCAGTAATATAAATGCCACTAGAGTTGGTAAATTTGATTCAGTTCAAACAGTCCTTTGCAATGAATGAATTCAGAACACTAAAGAGAAATGCAGTGATTTTTTTTTGCAAAAGATTCTTTTGAATTGGCAGCCAGAGGTCTGCAGAATGTGCAGAATCTAAGTGTAGAATTTATCATAATAAAATATTTTAGTGTATATATAATCTTTTGAACAGTAGTGTACATAGGTAAAATATTTGTTACTTTGTTATTTTGGTGTTTCCTGGCTTTGTGGAAAACCGTGTAGGAGATTATACCTACATATTTATTGGAAAATCTGACTTTATTTGTATCAGACTTGATCCGACTTTTATTTCTTCTAATCTAATTGTCTTCAAATTACTATTGTTTAATGATCAGCCATTTAAGCCATAAATAATATAAATACATAAATACTAAAATATTTATTGAAAACTGCCATAAAACTTAAATATAGAAATATAATTTTTAGATTTATTGCCCAGCTCTAATAAGGAGTGCTCATCAGATAAGAAAGGTGATCTTTGTTGATCCATCTTGAATCATATTGATTTTGAAGTATTTCAGACATTGTGATGAGAATAGATTGTGGTTTATTGATGGTGGGAAACGCATCCACATGAATTCAATGAAGGGGTCGATTAAATTTCCTCATGCAGCAGAATGGAGGTCACCAGCCAGGAAATAAAGAGGGTGTCCCTTAGGGATGTGAGATATCTATAGCAAAAGGAGTGGAGCGCTGGCCTGTACTTGAGGCCAGACACTGGAAGATAGGTGATAGAGACAATACAGATCAGTCTCAAGAGCTAAGGTCAGGAAATTAGTTGGTGGGGAAAAATAGCAGTTCTCTAAGGAGCCGAGCACAACTTCAAAACTCCTTATCATCAGCATTTTCCAGGCTATTTCATGCTGAAGTACAGACTGAGAAGCAGATGGCTTTGAAGATTTTGTCCTGCTATTACAGTTGTGCCAAATATGACCTTTAAAATGGTCTATTACTGGGCACTAAAGACAAGTGTTTCAAGATCACTGCTGTGTTAACAGGCTGAAAGTGTCTCCTTCAACAAATTTGTGTAGTTGGTTTTTCATCCATTCTTTTCTTTTTTTTATTCCACAGTTTGGAGTATCAGAGGATGAGCTGGGAAGCCCTGAAGAAGTCCATCAATGGTCTGATCAACAAAGTAAACGTTTCCAACATCGCCAACATTATTCAAGAGCTTCTGCAGGAGAATATTGTGAGGGGCAGGTAAAGACCACATCTCTTGTGTTTTACTCGGAATCAGAAAGAGCTTTATTGCCAGGTATGTTTACATATAGGAGAAATTTGTTTTGGTGACAGACTATTTGTTTTGGTTATACAGAAAAGTAACGGAGTCAGTGATGCAAACTTCAATTATGAGGCAAATCCAAATTCTGCTGTAAAGCAGCTTTAACTAGACAGTAATGTCATTATTCAGCTCCAATCAGTGCAGTGTTGGTTCAGTTCAGTTGAATAACTGTGTATGTTCATCAATTATGAAACAAGTTCAATTCAGCTTTAAGCAGATATCTTCTTTTGGCAAAATGCACCATCCCATAAAAGCAATATAATAAGTATAGAGGGAAAAGAAAAATCAATCCAGGATGAAGAATGCAGCAAGAGAAGTCTCCGTTATAGATATAATTTATTAAATACAGATCACATAAGTATCAAATAGGAATTCTATTACTACTAAAAATACTATTACTGACTTTTTTACATTATATCGTGTATAACTCATTATGTATTGAATGCTAATGATAAAAACAACTCGGTGTGGTTCAAAATTGATTATTTTATACAATACACTACATTGCAAGGTTTTATTATTTTTTTTATTTTTTTTTTTTATAATTCTCTTATGCTTACCAAGGCTGCATTTATTTGATCAAAAAATACAGTAAAAACTAATACCGTGAAAAGTTACTACAAATTAAAATAGCTTTTATCTATTGCAATATACTTCAAAATGTAATTTATTCCTATGGCGGCAAAGTGGAATAAAGCTCACTCCAGGCTTCAGTGTCACATGATCCTTCAGAAATCATTCTAATATGCTGATTTGATCCTGAAGAAACATGTCGTACCTTACTATCAGTGTTAAAAATAGTTCTGCTGCTAAATTCGTCCTCTTTTCTACACCTTGCTTCACTTCTGTTTCAGTTTTAATGACCAACTCTTACTATGTGTTTCCAGATCCCTACTATTACTACCACTCGCAAACCACGCATCACACACTATAGGCAGCGTAAACCTAACAACCTGCGCACTTTGCCTATGTCTGCTAATACACTACTTTCTTTTTCTATTGGTCTCTGAAATTGTCAGTCTGCAGTAAACAAAGCAGATTTCATTACATCTATTGCTAGTCATTCAAGACTAAACCACATGGCCCTGACAGAGACGTGGATCAAACCAGAGGACACTGCTACTCCTGCAACACTCTCCAATAATTTCTCATTTTCCCACACTCCCCGTCTGACTGGACGAGGTGGAGGTACTGGTCTGCTTATCTCTAATGATTGGGAATGTATTCCTTTACCTTCTCTGGGTATTAACAGCTCCTTTGAATCGCATTCAGTCACTATTACCCACCCTTTTAAAATCCATTTTGTGGTTGTTTATCGACCTCCAGGACCACAAGGTAACTTGGATGAATTGGATGTGCTGCTCTAAACCTTTCCTGAGGATGGTACTCCCCTAGTTATGCTTGGAGACTTCAACATCCACCTAGTTAAACTTCAGGCTGCAGACTTCCACACTCTGCTTGCCTCTTTTGATCTCAAGAGTGTTAACTATGGCTACTCACAAATCAGGCAACCAACTGGACCTTATTTACACACGACACTGCTCCACTGATCATGTACTGGTTACTCCACTGCATACCTCGGATCACTTCCTCTTCACTCTTAACCTCAGCATGGTTCCTGACACAACACATACCCCTCCACATGTCATCTTTCGACGTAATCTACGCTCACTCTCACCCTCCCGGCTATCTGCTATGGTTTCATCTTCGCTTCCTCCCCCTAAACAGTTAGCATCTCTTGATGCTAACAGTGCTACTGATACTTTCTGCTCCACTCTTACATCTTATTTAGAAACTGTCTGCCCCTTGTCTTCCAGGCCAGCCCATACCACCGCTTCTGCCCCTTGGCTATCTGATGTTCTCCGCGAACATCGTTCTAAGTTCGCAAACATCGAACATCGTTCTAAGCTCAGGGCTGCTGAAAAACAACCTCCTTGACAGCAACCAGTCTGGTTTCAGAAGTGGGCATTCAACCGAGACTGCCTTGCTCTCAGTTGATGAAGCCCTAAGACTGGCAAGAGCGGATTCCAAATCTTCAATACTTATCTTGCTGAATCTGTCTGCTGCTTTTGACATGGTTAACCACCAGATCCTCCTGTCAACCCTGTTGGCAAAGTGCATCTCAGGAACCGCACTCCAGTGGTTTGAGTCTTACCGAAAAACAACCTCCTTGACAGCAACCAGTCTGGTTTCAGAAGTGGGCATTCAATCGAGACTGCCTTGCTCACAGTTGTTGAAGCCCTAAGACTGAGACCTAAGATTCCAAATCTTCAGTACTTGCTGGATCTCTCCGCTGCTTTTGACATGGTTAACCACTAGATCCTCCTGTCAACCCTATTGGCAAAGAGCATCTCAGGAACCGCACTCCAGTGGTTTGAGTCTTACCTCTCAGATAGGTCCTTCAAGATATCTTGGAAAGGTGAGGTGTCCAAGTCGCAACATCTAACTACTGGGGTGCCTCAGAGCTCAGTTCTTGGATCACTTCTCTTCTGTCTACATGGCATCACTAGGCTCTATCATTCAGAAACATGGCTTTTCATATCACTGCTGTGCTGATGACACTCAACTCTACCTCTCATTCCATCCTGATGATCTGACGATAGCTGCTCGCATCTCAGCTTGTCTAACAGACATTTCTTGCTGGATGAAGGACCATCACCTTCAACTCAACCTTGCCAAGACAGAACTGCTTGTGGTTCCAACAAACCCATCGTTTCATCACAATTTCACCATCCAGTTAGGCACGTCAACCATAACTCCTTCAAAAACAGCCAGAAACCTTGGAATTGTGATTTGATGATCAGCTGACTTTCTCAGACCACATTGCTAAAACTGCCCGGTCCTGCAGATTTGCTTTATTCCTCGGATCTATTATTTGCTTAGAATGAGCCGTTTTAGGTAGGCGTGGTTGACTTAACTTTTATAAAGAATATCTCTTTGGGTTTGAGACTTTAGTCTTTGCAACTTTACAGATCTTCTTTATGCACTAAGAGCTTGTTAACACTCCACAGAGAAAGGAAAATTTAAAACGCATCATATGACCCCTTTAAAAAAAAAAAAAAAGCTAACTAGCTTCTCTATTCTTTTTGTATTCCATCTATTTTTCTTTTTATTTTACAATTAGCAAAAGCATAAAAGCCTCGAACACTAGCTTGCTCTATTCCTTTTCTATTCTATCTGTTTTCTTTTTATATAATTAAAAAAACCTTGCTATGTGTACTACGTTAAGCTAACTGAGACTTGTTATATCTGTAGCGTCTCGACCAATCTGACACACAAATTTTTATTTGATTTAACAAATCAATTATTCATTAGATTAACAAATCGTCACAGTCCCCTCACTCAATAAACTGGATGCCAGGATTTCTGCTGAACACCATCCCCCCTTGGTCACCATGACAACTAATCATGATATCACTGGTTTTATTGCCTAAAGGAATGCGAGCAGAGAAACTCCCTCATTTTCCTCATAAGAAAGACACATAATGCCCAGAGAAATGGACTGTTCTCTAATTTGAGACTTTAGTCTTTGCAACTTTACAGATCTTCTTTATGCACTAAGAGCTTGTTAACACTCCACAGAGAAAGGAAAATTTAAATCGCATCATATGACCCCTTTAAAAAAAAAAAAAAAAAAAGCTAACTAGCTTCTCTATTCTTTTTGTATTCCATCTATTTTTCTTTTTATTTTACAATTAGCAAAAGCATAAAAGCCTCGAACACTAGCTTGCTCTATTCCTTTTCTATTCTATCTGTTTTCTTTTTACTAGTTATGGTTAATTATTCATATTTCCTATCATGGGCTGATTCGTTACATATCACTTGCGTATCATTGCTCTTTTGTTGTTTTTGATTGCTTCCATTGTCCTCATTTGTTAGTCGCTTTAGATAAAAGCGTCTGCTAAATGACTAAATCTAAATGTAAATATTTTTGTGGAAACCATGACACATTTTTCAGGAATCTTTAATGAATAGAAAAAAACCCAGCAATTTTTTAAATGGAATGTTTTGTAACATTATAAATGTTTACTGTCAGTTTTAATGCATTTTATGGATTCTTGCTGAATAGAATGATCTTCTCCAAAAACAAAATTGCACTGACCCCAAATGTATGGTAGTGTATACACCAAGTTCCATTGAAATCAGTTCTGAAGTTGAGTCTCCAATGATATTTGTATGATGCATGAGTTGATACCCATGTAAATGTCTAAACCAGTCACTTATGAGGTTTCATTTCAGTTAGGATGCTCCCTGTGTAGGCAGGAAACAGTAAGACAGCTCATATGTTTAACTAATTGTTATTGGTCCGGGCGTGTCTCTCTCCAGGGGTCTTCTGGCCAGGTCTACACTTCAGGCCCAGGCTGCCTCTTCCATCTTCACCCATGTGTACGCTGCTGTGGTGGCCATAATCAACTCCAAGTTTCCTCAGATCGGAGAACTTATTCTCAAGAGACTTATCCTCAATTTCCGGAAAGGTTACAGGAGGAATGATAAAGTAAGTCTTTAGGAAGCTGGGTACTAAATGGAGCACCAATTTAAATGGCATTCTCATTTTTATTTCTATCTTTTCAGCAACAATGTCTTACAGCATCCAAGTTCGTGGCTCATCTCATCAACCAGAATGTGGTATGTCTTTCTGGTCCTTTTAACAGATTTTTGTCTATAAACCATAGTTTATTGTGTAGTGCGTAATTGCATTTCTTTGTCTCAAGGCTCATGAAGTCCTGTGTCTAGAGATGTTAACTCTGCTGTTGGAAAGACCCACTGATGACAGTGTGGAAGTCGCCATCAGCTTTCTAAAAGAGTGTGGTCTCAAACTGACAGAGGTCTCACCCCGAGGCATTAATGGTACATTACTTGCTGTTTCATTTATTTATTTTTTATTTATTTATTTTTTGGTTATTGAATGGATGATTTTATCTTGTGTTATGTCTACATTGTCATATTTTTCAGCTATCTTTGAACGTCTGAGGAACATCTTGCATGAATCAGAGATAGATAAGCGTGTACAGTACATGATTGAGGTGATGTTTGCCATCAGGAAGGATGGGTTTAAGGACCACCCTATTATCCCAGATGGGCTTGACCTAGTGGAGGAAGAGGACCAGTTCACACACATGCTTCCTCTGGAGGACGATTACAACACAGAGGACATCATAAGTAAGATCAGCTGCACTTATACATGCCATTTCAGTGTTTTTAAACCTTTTACCTTGCTCCATATAAGGAATTGTCATGGGCAGGTGACTGATTTTATATTTCAGTAAAAATAGTTTGGAGATCTCAGCAAGTACAGATCTGAGAATTTAATAAACATTTTATATATTTTTTCAAAGATTTTATGTAGTCTTATTTCGATTTGATATTTCAATAAAGCACTTAAGTGAAAGTTCTATAATCTGTAAATGTGATGTGTTTAGTAACCACTGATTTGAGATTCCAGTAAACTACTGATTTAGGATTTCATTGAACTACAGATTTAAGATGTCAGGAATATAAATTCAGTTACTACCATTCAAAAGTTTGGTCTGTAAGATTTTTTCATTATTTTGAAATAAGTCTCTTCCACCAAGGCTGCATTTATAATATAATAATAATACATTTTATTTGTAATGTGCCTTTCTCAACCTCAAAGCCCTTTTTTATCAGAAATAATGTAAAAAACAGCTATATTGTAAATAGTGCTTTGCATTTTAATGTATAAAATGTAATTTACTCTTGTGATGACAGCTGAATTTTCAGCAACTCAGACATATTTCTTCATATTAATATTTAAAAGGGTTGTGCTGTTAATATTTTTGTGGAGACCGTGATACATTTTTTCAGGATTCTTTAATGACTAGAAAGGTCAAAAGAACAGCATTTACTTGAAATATATATTTTTGGATGTCTTTACTGTCACTTTTGAGCAATTTAATGTATCCCTTTTGAACCAAAAATATTATTTTCTTTCAAAGAAAATCCTACTGACCACAAACTTTCAAATGGTAATGTAGTTTTAATTCGTAAATGTATCAGTCATGATGAAAACACATGCTTTAAGTTTCTAGTTTTAATTCATAAATGTATCAGTCATGATGAAACACATGTTTTAAGTTTCTAATTTACAATGTTTTGTTTAAAACCGTTCCTGTTTTCATCATTGTTGCTGAAGGTGTTGAGTGAGTACGATTCAGTACCTCTCTCACCTAACCTGCCAGGCCTCAATTTCTCATGTTTAGCAGCTAATTACCTTGATACAATCATAATGGATGACTTCCTTCTCTCTAAAGCCACCCGCGAGGGAATGCATGCTCTCAAACCAGAGGCCGCAGTCCTTGCTCTGCCTGTGTGTAATTGAGGGTTTTGCTCTCTCAGTTCTCATATTTAGCTACTGTCTGTACTGATGTTTGCGGATAAGTATCTTTTCTGAGGCTTCTGAGACAAAGTGCGCTAATTGAAAATCCATACAAGCGGCCCTTTGGGGAGCATGAACAGCCATTATCACATTAAGCTCTTTTTATGTTTTACGGCTAATACACAGCAAATTCTTCTTTATGGGTAATTACCTCTGATTACATCTCGTTGGCACTGACTTAATTGCTGCGAAACGTGTAATTGCAAACAAATGTCTGCTTTACATCAACAATATTCCTTTTGCAGATGTCTTCAAGTTGGATCCCAACTTCCTGGAGAACGAGGAGAAGTACAAAGCAATTAAACGGGGTGAGTTAATGACTCTTTTTCTGTACGCATTCTCCGTTCTTCTCATTACTGCCTATTAAAAGAGATGCCCTCTGATGCACCGTCTCTGGTAGCGCATTTGAATTTTAATTGTGTACTAATTGTACAACGGACTGGAGACAGCCATATGGTACTGGAAGCTGAAATGGTGGTCCTTGATTGCGACAATTGGAGATGCTTGTTCTGTGATGCAGAGATGATTACTCAATTTACGGCTTGAGAAGCAAAGCTAATGGAATCGTTCAGCAGTGGAGAAAGTGACAGAACATAGTTGTGACCTAAGATGCCAACGGGAGACCTGGGCAAAGACGAGAGAGTGTTTGTGTGTTATGCTTGTCACTTTTTCCTAAAGTCAAATCCAAATGAATCTCAAGTAGGGTGAAATTTTAATTGATAGAGACTTATACAGTTCTTTACGATAATGTAGCTCATTTGTCCCTCCACTTTTGCAGGCTCTCCACTACAAACATATTAAAAGAAAAATATGGAAAATAAAATAGGGATGCACCGAATGTTCGCCAACCAAAATTATTTGGCTGAAATAGCAAAAATAAGATAAGCGAAAAGACCGAATAAATTGTGCTGAACAATGAAGTGATGCGATCCAATAGCAGCCAGCGTAGAGTGAGAGGCGCGCACTCTTTATAATCCAGCACACACGTCAGCAGTGTGGAAGCATTTAAAACTGTCAGAGAAAGATGCACAAATCATTACAAGCACCGACATCGAGAGACTGTTTAGGACTGCATCGCATGTCTTCGATGAGAATAGGAAGGGGTGATTGTTGCTGGTTACTGTATGATGATTGAAATCGTGAAAGGGCTTTAAACAATTAGTAAATAAACTGCAGAACGTTATGTTTTCTAATACACGCACGCATTGCATGTATTCTGACAGCGCTGCACGACCTCGCCGTGCTATTGTTAACCAGGGTTCAAAGTCCAAAGTGCAAGGAAAATCTGCGCAGAAACAGTTGCTCAGTCACATTTTTATGAATTTTTACAAGGCATGTGACAATGCGATACGTATGACGTATTTGTAATGAGACTCATTTATAAAATCTGCTGTTGTCAACAAAAAGAAGCATTGAGGTCTTCCTGGTCGTTTCCGCCAAAATAAAAGTTGAGAAAAAGCAAGAACTCTATCAACATTCATAAACGATAGTATTGTAATTTTACTGTTGTTCTGTAAAATAAAATAAGATGATAATGATAATAATCGTTACAACAGCTCTGTTAATGCATTTATTATAACATTCACACATAGTTTTCAAATTAGGATCTGTTATATTTTCTAATGTTTTAAAAGAAGTCTCTTCTGCTCAGCAAGGCTGCTTTTAATTGTACAGTAAAAATACATGCCTGATTCAAGAAGGGGGTCTGATGGCCAAAACATACTATTTTACTAACTTATAAATTTTAAGTTAAATTGTGCTTTGTTGGTATAGTGTCTGCTAGAATGTTAAAAATGTTCAGTGTTAAATATTTTTAAATTGTTGTTTTGTAATTGATTTTTTTCTTTGAAAAGTAAGACAAAACCGTAAAAATTTTTGCTATTGAATTTATGCAATGGTGAAAAAAAATAGGCAAAATAAAAAAACTCGAAAAACTGTTTGGTATTCGGCTTTCGGCCCAGTGTTTCATTTTGTTCGGCTTCGGCCAACAATTTTAATTTCGGTGCATCCCTAAAATAAAATAAAATGAACCATATCACCATGAAAATGAAAACATGGCAACGACTATCATCATGAAGTCTGGTCCGCTTTACAACTTTTTATGGCCTAGAACCATTCAGTTAGATTGGAAGAACAAGGATATTATTGTTATATATATATATATATATATTAGTGGTGTAACGGTTCACAAAATTCACAGTTCGGTTCGATACGACACAGTGGTGTCATGGTTCGGTACGTTATCGATTAGAGGGGGAGGGTGTAATTGCTTGCTTCGCAATGTTGGAAATATTTCTGTTTTAAACTATGAAGGCAAGCCAGTGGATATCACACAAGCAACATGCAAACTCTGCGCAACAGTTATGCCGGTGAACATCTTAATCTCAGTCAATTCACTATGCAGAAACAAAGTAAAAACGGAATGACGTAGTACTGACGGAGCTTTCGGCATCTGGCGCCGCATATTCTCTCAGAGACTACGAGAGACGAATCTACTTCAGCATATGCTGATAACGGTATATAGCTAACAGTTTTAATTTAGTCCCTTAATATTTCTCTTGTGGCCCGTACATAGTGAAAAAAAATTAAAAGAAACGTATTTCGTGTTAAACAGGTTGTTTTTGAAAGTCGGTGCTTGAAATAGGCTAAAGCTTTTTATTTCATTGCTTTTTATATATTTTTTATATTTTATGTATTGGCCGATAATTCATTGTGTAATAGGCTAGACCTATTTTAAAAGACCTTTTTTTACAACATGGTAATTGAGGAGTAAAAAGCCTAATCTTTTGTTATCCTCGCAGCGTGTTAAATATGCGGTAATATTATGGGGCATTAATTATTGTTCTGTTATATTTTCTAATGTTTTAAAAGAAGTCTCTTCTGCTCAGCAAGGCTGCTTTTAATTGTACAGTAAAAATACATGCCTGATTCAAGAAGGGGGTCTGATGGCCAAAACATACTATTTTACTAACTTATAAATTTTAAGTTAAATTGTGCTTTGTTGGTATAGTGTCTGCTAGAATGTTAAAAATGTTCAGTGTTAAATATTTTTAAATTGTTGTTTTGTAATTGATTTTTTTCTTTGAAAAGTAAGACAAAACCGTAAAAAGCAAATTTTTGCTATTGAATTTATGCAATGGTGAAAAAAAATAGGCAAAATAAAAAAACTCGAAAAACTGTTTGGTATTCGGCTTTCGGCCCAGTGTTTCATTTTGTTCGGCTTCGGCCAACAATTTTAATTTCGGTGCATCCCTAAAATAAAATAAAATGAACCATATCACCATGAAAATGAAAACATGGCAACGACTATCATCATGAAGTCTGGTCCGCTTTACAACTTTTTATGGCCTAGAACCATTCAGTTAGATTGGAAGAACAAGGATATTATTGTTATATATATATATATATATATTAGTGGTGTAACGGTTCACAAAATTCACAGTTCGGTTCGATACGACACAGTGGTGTCATGGTTCGGTACGTTATCGATTAGAGGGGGAGGGTGTAATTGCTTGCTTCGCAATGTTGGAAATATTTCTGTTTTAAACTATGAAGGCAAGCCAGTGGATATCACACAAGCAACATGCAAACTCTGCGCAACAGTTATGCCGGTGAACATCTTAATCTCAGTCAATTCACTATGCAGAAACAAAGTAAAAACGGAATGACGTAGTACTGACGGAGCTTTCGGCATCTGGCGCCGCATATTCTCTCAGAGACTACGAGAGACGAATCTACTTCAGCATATGCTGATAACGGTATATAGCTAACAGTTTTAATTTAGTCCCTTAATATTTCTCTTGTGGCCCGTACATAGTGAAAAAAAATTAAAAGAAACGTATTTCGTGTTAAACAGGTTGTTTTTGAAAGTCGGTGCTTGAAATAGGCTAAAGCTTTTTATTTCATTGCTTTTTATATATTTTTTATATTTTATGTATTGGCCGATAATTCATTGTGTAATAGGCTAGACCTATTTTAAAAGACCTTTTTTTACAACATGGTAATTGAGGAGTAAAAAGCCTAATCTTTTGTTATCCTCGCAGCGTGTTAAATATGCGGTAATATTATGGGGCATTAATTATTGTAATTAATACATTTTAAATGAATAATAAAAGTAAATTCATAATAATAATACGCCTAATAAAAATAAGAATGTAACAGGCCTACATTAATTGTAAATGCCAAATCCTCTTTATATTATAATATTGCCAATAATTGATGTTTATGACAATATCTCTGGCTATCATTGATACAAGATCATTGTCTTTCGATGCACCCCAGCAAGAGGAGGTTAGTGCGGAGCCGTCTGCTACACCACTGGGCAGACCGCAAGTTGCCTGTTACGTCGTTTGGGCTACCTTGTTGAGCGCAGTGGCACTGAGAACATTGTATTTCACACACTTTAAGCTCTTTTGTTTTCCAAATTTAATGGGATTAGTCCAACGAATCGTTTGGTTTGTAATGCGTACCGAAACGAAAGCCTCGTACCGAATGGTTCAATACGAATACGTGTATCATTACACCCCTAATATATATATATGTATGTGTGTGTGTGTGTGTAATACAATTTTTTATTTTTTATTTAAAGTTTTTTTTTTAAATTGAATTGATCTGTCTTGTTTTCATACCTCAGAAATTCTTGACGAAGGAAGCAGTGATTCTGGTGGTGACGCTGGTGGCAGTGGAGATGACGAAGATGATGATGATGAAGATGAAGACGAGGCAGCTGGAGAAGGTATTTAAAATATTTATCAAGTGTCACATGTTCTACCATATGCTTAATACAATTTTTTATTTTTTATTTAGACAAAGCAGTGATTCTGGTGGTGACGCTGGTGGCAGTGGAGATGACGAAGATGATGATGATGAAGATGAAGACGAGGCAGCTGGAGAAGGTATTTAAAATATTTATCAAGTGTCACATGTTCTACCATATGCTTATAAAAAATAGGCACAATTGTATTAATATTCAGTGTTGTGATGTGGCTTGGTGGCGCTATACTCCTTGTTCGCCTTGTTCTTATTTGAGTTCTTATGCAAGTGCCAGTGTTTGGGGACAATGCTTTGCATTAGTTCCCCTAGATAATCCTGCTCATATGGTCTCTTGGGTCTTGAGCTGAGGAGAAACTGCATAAAACACTATGGCTGTCAGGAGACTACCTGTTCCAGACTGTAGCACATTGTGTTTCAGGCATTAAAAGGATCATAACTTTTTTCCCCTCTGAGGTCCAGTAACAATGTTTCTCGAACTTAAAACAGTTGTAATATAGTTTAAAGCCAGAAACATACTCTGCAGAAGTATGCAAATGCAGATGCTTGGGCAGTCCAACACAAGCATGTGGTCCTGTTGAACATTTGCGTTTCTATGCTAGTAACAAACCTCAGTATGCAAATAGGTGACGGTTACTTTCTGATGTCTTATTTATCTGCTATATATCTGGAGACATGCTCGGTACGATTGACTTCAAATTGTTGCTCTGTCAGTCAGTTTTTTAAATCTTTTTTTCACTTTAATTTGTAAGTTATTTTGTTGTTTTTATAATTTTTGACTATAATATTGTCTATAATATTTATTGATTTATTAATTTTATTACTTTAAATGAAAATGAGAAATTTTGGCAGGGAGATTAATTTGATATTTTATTGTTTCAGTCAACTTGTATTGGTAACAATTTATTTTTAGTTAACGTAACAACACTGAAATAGTTATTTTTATGTATACATTTGTAATTTATTTAAATTTATTGTTTTATGTATTAAAGAATTATAAAATTATAGTATCATAAAAATATTTAAACATTTATAACTTTGAGATGTGTACTATTTCAGTTTAAATGTTTTTGTTTTTTGTCCAAAAGATCAAAGAAAAATATTTTTTCATGATATGACTCCTTGGCACCAAAAACATCAGCCACTGTACTGTTTTTAGATGTTCTTGAATTTATCACTTCTGCCGGATGTCTCGTTGATTATAATGTGAAGGTTCAAGAGCTCCCTGTCATCAGGCGGTGTGTGTCTCTCTGCTGTTCTTTAGTTCCATTCCTGTGATCAGATGAGCTTAGTTGTGTTAATTGCTTCATCAAAGAAGGCTGTGAGCCTGTGAATTAAAATAACTCTGCAAAGAACGAGTGCTATTGACCTCTGGAGGGAGACATATCATTTGACTCAAACTTCAACCAGTCTCTGTCCTGTTTAACTGTACTGAGCTTTTCTTTTCTTTATTTAGAACAAGAGAAAGTCACCATCTTCGACCAGACAGAGGTCAACTTGGTTGCGTTCCGTCGAACGATTTACCTCGCCATCCAGTCAAGGTGAGTGTGTGCATCATGTGATCCAATGGTTCTGTGTCGTCTTTCGTGCTTCCATCAGCAGAAAGGGAGCAGCTTTAAAAGCCACCAGAAATAGTCTGTGCAAAAGCTTATTTTGGCTGGAATTGAAAAACAACCTACTTTTGAGATCCCATGTGTAGAGATGAGGCTGTATTTTCTTGTTTTTGAACCCAAGCTCCTGAAGCCCCTGAGGGCCACAGCACGCAGATTGAATTAATAACGTTTCAGATTAGTTGTTTTTAATTGAGTTTCGCCGGCACGGTGCAGCAGAAGTGCCGTCACGGATCAGAAATCGCTGTGGTGAAGGACTTCAAAATTAGTTATCCTTTGATATCAATAGGGTTTGAAAAATGTTTAAACAACAATTCTGGGGCTGATTGATGAGAGTAGGAGAAAGTCAGCACAAGTCTATTTCCCTCGGCATCACAGAACCATTTCTCAGTATGGCTGTCCTGGCTGTCCTCCTCATGGAGTTTTACAGCTTTTTAATGATATTTAATGCATATTGATATTTGGGCTGTTGGAGCATATTTTCATGAGAGGTTTTTTTTTAATCTCCAACATTAAATTTTAGGTTATTTAGGAATTTCTTTTGAATGTTTTAAGGATAGTCAACATTCAAGTTGTAGGTTCTGTAACTGATTTTTTTATAATTTTTTTTTATTTACCCATTTGGTTCAGTCAAATGGGTTCAGATAGTTTTTTTTTTATCGCCTTTTTGTCTACTAGGTCGCTTTAAATGGTTTTTATTAATGATTTTTTAAAATATGCCTATTTTTTTTTCTCCAGTTTTAGTTTGAGTAAAGAACATCAAGTTAAAGGGATAGTTCACCCAAAAATTTAAATTCTGTCATTAATTACGCACCTTCATGTTGTTTCACACCCGCAAGACCTTTGTTCATCTTCAGAACACACATTAAAGGGATACTCCACCCCAAGATGAAAATTTAGTCATTAATCACTTATCCCCATGTCGTTCCAAAACCGTAAAAGCTTTGTTCGTCTTCGGAACACAATTTAAGATATTTTGAATGAAAACCAGGAGGCCTGTGACTGTCCCATAGACTGCCAAGTAAAATACACTGTCAAGGTCCAGAAAAGTATGAAAAGCATCGTCAGAATAGTCCATCTGCCATCAGTGGTTCAACCGTAACGTTGTGAAGCGACGAGAATACTTTTTGTACACAAAGAAAACAAAATTAACGACTTTATTCAACAATTCCTCTCCTCCGTGTCTCTCCACATCACCGTAGCACCATTTTGTAGAATATCCATTGAACGCAAACTGCGTACGCTCTTCTGTGTCAGCCGCGCCAGCTCATATTCTACAAAATGGCACTACGGTGATGTGGAGAGACACAGAGGAGAGGAATTGTTGGCGCATTCCCTTCACAAACAAAAGTAATCCACTGCATCTTCAGTGGCTCAGATGTTGGGAGTAAATGACGACTGCTATGTTCGTTATTACTTACAACAACAAAACACCTCAATCACTTACTACGCTTAGGAGCCATTCTTGTCTACGTCCCTGCTCCGGCATCTAATCAACGGCGGACTGTTTACAGCTCACTCAGGGCGGGTCTAAGGTAAAACACCAGTGCCAATCAACAATCATGGGAGCGGCCTTCGTCCGTGTGACGTCACAGACAAGAAGTTGAGAACGGCCTGATTTTAAAAAGGGGATATTATTTTTAGGGATTAAGTAAAAACCACTGGGTGGATTTTTATCATTATAGGGTAGATGTGTACACACACACACTGCCAACACACATTTATGTTCAAACAACATGTAAAAGTGAATTTAGCATCCGATGATCCCTAATATAATGTGCATTCATTTTCTTTTACTAAAACATTGGAATAATTAACATAAACAATGTTTACACACAGAGTCTTATGAACAATTTACATTGTACATTAATTATGATGCAAAAAAATGTTGAATCAGAGTGCAGTTCATTCACATGGACCGTTTCAGCTGATTCATGTAAATGAACTGAACTTACAAACTTTACATATGAGTGCCATTTTTGCTACTGAAGTTTAAATCAAAGGTGCTACAACATCTGACGTCACACTCTCATAATGATGAGACTTGAGACCGGGGGAACGTTTGCAAAATTGCTTAATGAGCCTTAAGGAAATTTAATGGTTAAATAAAAAGTGCTTTAAAATAATCACAATGTGACTTAATTTTGTATCACCTGCAAAACTACTGTGAATCTAGCATGAATATTCATACATTCCTAGCAGGCACAGAGTCACACTCCACACCACACTACAGGCTTCCTCACAGCTTCCCTTTTCCACTTCGATTGACCTGAAGCTTTAAAAAAGCCTTTACTGCGGAGAATGTTTGAAAGCACTAAACTTCTGAGCACCTCGGGGCTGCCGAGCACTCGCAAGTTAAAGATGCAGCAGAGGCTAATTCTGTATCTACAACTTGGAGCAGTCAGAAGCAGGCTTTGGATGTGTACTAGCTTCAATTGACCTGCTTTTCTTTAAGTGCATGAACACTATTAGATCACAGCTATACGAAACACATCTAACATGACACACAGCTTCCAATGAGGCTTCTTTCAATACATTCATCTGCTGTGTGACAAGCTTTTAAATATTTCACCAGCTGGGAGTCAACTGACTGACTTAATGTCTTTAAACTTGCCCGCTGGCAGCTGGATTCTCCTCTTAAAACTAACCTGGTCTCTCGCAGCGATCTACTGCAGCTCAGCGAGGGGTCGCCCGGTGCTGCGGTCTCTCTGTTAACTGGCCTGAGTGCAGAAAGAGGGCAGAGCTAAAAGAGAGAGGCACTACAAAGGTTCTCACTCTGCCTTTCTACAAACTGCCTTTGAGGCCGGGATGAAACTGATTTGGCCCACAAATCCCCTGCCCGGAGGCAAGGTTGGTGTATGGACAGGAAAAAGTATGACCCAGTAGGAAATTAGATTAGCCCCAGTTATTTTTCTGTTGAAATCGGAATATTTTTCACATTGGTTGTGTGGTGCCAACCCTGTGATTCCCATTGTGGGCTTTTCTTTCTTTTTATATAGAGGAGAAAGAAAATGATGGGAAGAGAGTGGAAAACAGTGTCTGTAAGTTGGGAAATGTTGAAGACGTTGTTTAAAAAATTTGGGGTCAGTAAGATTTTTTTGTTTGTGAAAAAAGTGTCTTATGCTCACCATTTATTTGATCAGAAGTAAAAACCGTAATATTGTGAAATATTATTGTAATTTAAAACAACAGTTTTTAATTTTAATATATTTTAAAATGCCATTATTCCTGTGATGCAAAACAGAAATCAGCATCATTACTCCAGTCTTCAGTGTCACATGATACTTCAGAAATAATTCTAATATGCTGATTTGCTGCTGAAGAAATATTTATTATAATGTTAACAGTTGTGCTTTTTACTTTTTACTTTTTTTTTTTTTTGGAAGCAGTGTTATTTTTTGTTTCTGGATTTTTGGAATAGAAAGTTCAAAATAGCAGCATTGTTTTAAAATAGAATTCTTATGTAACATTACAAATTAATTTTTTCTCACTTTCAATCAATTTAATACAATTTTTTGATTAAAAATCTTACTGACCTCAAACTTTTGAACAAACATGACCAGGAATGTTTATTAAAATGGTAAATGGGGTTTTTAAGTAATAGTTGAACATTTCTCTACATCATCTTTTATGTTCCACAGAAGAAAGTCATACAGTTTTGAAACGTGTCAGTGACAGTTAAGACAGTGAAGTTTGATGTAGTGGTGCACAGTATACAGTGCTGTACTGGCTGTGTACTGCTGTGTGTTGATGTGGATAGGGAATGGGTTGACTGACAGTCATATGAAGTTGTCCTTGTGGCTAACTGTGCACCATGGGACCTGTAGTGTCAAGTCTAGCCATCATGTCCCTCTCTTTTTATCTGCCCCTGCCCTTTGAAGTGGTCATGGCACAGCATTCAAACTTTAAAGAAGTAGAGCAGAGTGAACTTTATTTAGAACAGAGATTCAAGTTTGGTCAGACTTAAGCAGGTTTCCACTCCGTAAACTAAAGCATTAATCTGAGTTTGTTTCTCAGGCTTGTTGGTTTGTGTGCAGGAGAGATTAGTATCTGTGGGCATCACATGACTGTGTTTGTCAGCAGTTTGTGAAACTATCTGATAGATGCAGAATTCTGGCAGAAATGTCTGAAAGAGATGCCAGACTAATGACCACTGCTTTAGTTTGCTTTGCACTGGTAAAGAGTAGAAAGACTTGTCTAACCAAACCCTATTTAATTTAAATGCCAGTATTAAGTTAAACATATTAGCACCTACATGAATTTTCTATTTTATTTTGGAGACCTCTTTCTTGATCATCTTGACTGATTCATACATCAAACATTTAACTTTTTTCTTGAGTCAGGTTGACTGATTCATACATAACCATTTTTGTATTTTATTTCATTTAATTTTTATTTTATTATTTTGAAAACATTTTTTGAGTCAGATTGACTGATTCATACATCAAACCTTTTATTTTATTATGTATTATTATTATTCAATTTGTTAGAGACCTCTTTCTAGTTATCTTGACTGATTCATTATACAGAAATGGTCATAAGAGTTATTTGTGTGTGATTCTCATTACCCTGCTGAACACAATAGAAAGATGTTTTCTATTTATTGTCTTCGTTCGCATTCAATTTAGACTGCAGATTCACAGCTCAGCTATAATATAATGTCTTCATCCATACTGCTACAGATTCAACAGCTTTACAGTAAACATTGGCTCAAAATGTTTCCCATTAGGCTTTGAAGCGAGAGCATCTTGGTCTGACCTTAAATGAAGCACTGAAGTGCCAATACAATCCCTGGACAGTCAAAAGGGTCAGCCTGCTTAAGATAGAAAGCCTAATTTCTCCATAGTGGACATATTTTGTAATATCTTTTGGGTATTAGGACTATATTATTATTCTGATCATGCACTTCACCTTCAACAGATGATGCCCTC